GAGAATCACAGGCAGAGTTTGAGATCCATGTTTATATCTAAGAAGATGATGTGAAATAGGCTGTTGGATATATGAGTGCAGTTTCGGGAAGACGCCTGGGCTGGAAACGTAATTGGGAGTTGTCAGAGCAGAGCTGCCCTGAGAGTGAAAAAGCCATAAGACCGGATGAGGTCTCTTATAAAAGGGGCTGGTAATGAAGAGAAGAGGTTCAGGAACTGAGCCCCAGGTCAGATAAACAAGAAATGTTTGCTCTGTACTCACAACATATGGATTCATAACTTACAATTCTGTAAGTGCTTCCTTCTGTAATTCTCCCTTTTTCCTGTGACTCTTAGAACAAGCAGCATAAATACTACCCTTGTTTTACAGTTGTGGGAAAATGCCCTCAGTAATGAAAATTGGGATTTTCACTCCTGTACTGTGTTGATGTCAGAACCATAGGGCAGTCACTTTGGGGACCCAGTGACATAGACACACATCCTGCCCCAAGGCACCCCCCCACACACACACACACATATTCTCACACAACTGCAGAGAGATCTCGGGCCTCCCAAAGCCTCCTTACAGAGCTCTGCTGCTGTTTCTCTTCCCTTGACCTCACCAGCTCCTGACCTGAGAAGATGCACCCCGAGAACAGGAGCCCCTGTGTGCTTCTGTTCAATGGCTGTTTCCTTGTTGCTGTGGAGACAGTGTTGACACAATGATGTAGAAGTGAAATTATCCTCTCAGATTTCAGTTTGACCCTTCAATTGGCTCTGGTCACAAATGAGGATGAGAGTGACGTGCGCCATCCCTGAGCAGAGCCTTTCAGAGCCCTTGAGTGGCCTGACTTTATTCCTGCAGCCTGGTTTCCAGGAGGAAGTGGACTGGAGGCATTAGAGCAGTAATACACAGAACATAAACCTTTACTGTAGTAAGTCCCTGGGACTTGGGGGTGTCACAACACTAGTAACCCGAGTGTAGTGACAGTATTAGAGTGTACCTTATTTTTGGGAATTACTTTATTCAGAGAACATTAAGTTGTCATGTTGTCTGTCACATGTGGCTAACGTTCCCTGTTTTCACAGCTGTGCTAGAATGTGTGATTACGCCTGATGAGGTCACATCCAGCTATCTGTTTTCCTTGGTTGAGGTTTGCTTTGTTGGTTGCCTTAAAAAAAAATAATCGAAAGCATGCTTTGCTGGAATATAAAATATCAATACAATTTTCATTGTGTGAAGTACTTCATAGTTACTCTATTAACAGTATTAATAAATGTGTGGACTGCTTAGAATAGAGTATAAATACTTAAGACATGTGGAAGTGAGAAGTGGATACAGTTTTAAATCTGCTTTAACCCTGCTCCTCCTCTGATTGGCTGAGCAGATTCAGACATACGTTTTAATTTTGAAATGCAGGGATTTGAACAAATCAGTGGTCCCAAGTGCTCATCCATGTGTGAGCCTCTGTTAAACTTTCCTTCATTCTGTAGAAAAATGGGAAAACTAAGGTCAGTGTAGTACATTTTCCTTAATATAAAAACTAATTCAATTTATTGGTATGAAGGACGAAATGTATTTGGGATGAAGGTTTCTTATTTCTAGTTTATCCTTATTACCTTAGAGGAAAGGGTAGTTTTTTATGAAATAAGATGGATGGCCACCCCACAGCAGTCTTCAGGGTGGATCTGGCTTTTCCTAGTTTGGGAAAGATTGTGGACAATTTTTTGATTCCCTTTTTGTTGCCTTACAGCTGCCGAACCATCTGCCCCCCTGCGCCAACCCCATGACCTCATGAGGCCCCGAGGAGGTGTCTCGGAAGACGGAGCCCCAATGGAATGATATTGGTCATCTCCCTTATCTGGATGGTTTCGGTACATTGACTCCATCCCCTGGGGTTGTGTGTGTGTGTATGAAGGCACAGTACGTGTTGGAATACAATGGGGACTTTCGGGAAAAACAGCAGTCAGGCATGTCATTAACAGACCTTGGAAAAAACAAGTTTCACTTCCTTGTATGATTACTAATAAAAGCTATGCGTTGGCCAGTTTGGGGGCTCAGTCCTCAGAGACTTGCGTCCCTTGGCCCCGCTTTAGCCCTACACTCGACTCTTCCTTTCCTTAATCCAGCGCCGCCCCTCTTGCACTCCACAGCCCTTGCTGCGCTGGACGGGACACCTTTTAACTTTCAAAGTGTAGTTGGTTTTCGCCCAGATGCTACAGCGAACCTGGCTTAGGGAGCAGAAATAGAACACGCCGTGCGGCTCCGGTGTGTGTCTCCAGGGTCCCTTCCTCAGAGCGACACAGTTGACTGTTAAGTGAGGCTCTAGTGCAGCCTCAGACGGTCCCTGGACAATGGGCCACCTGCCACTTGAAGTGGCAGAGGCGGGGAAGCTTTCCAGCACTAGAATGTCCTCAGAACAGTTCAGGGGAAAGAGAGAACTCTAAAAAGGGGTGTAGACTTTTAGAAGGGGTTTGCATTGTCGTTCATACTTCCGGACAAGGAACCCTAATTGGTGTCAGTCGTTAGGCTTCGGGGCCCACTGCCTTGTTCAAGGCCTCAGGACTCTGAGATGCCAGTGTGGGCAGGACCAAGGGCACCTTCTCTAACATCAGCCAGAGGGTGTAGCCACACTAAGATTTTGGGAGCCTTTCTCTGTGCAGACACCGTCCTAAGTGCCTTCTTTATCTATGTTCGTTTATTGATCATCCCAGCAATGTCATGTTGTAGTCACTCATTATTATTTCCAATTTAGAGGTAAGATAATGCTCACAGACAGTTTAAGTAATTTGCTCCAACTCAGCATTCAGAACACCCAGGGATCTTTCCTTAAGTCAGCGGTTCTCAACCTTCCTAATACCGTGACCCCTTATAACAGTTCCTCATGTTGTGGTGACCCCCAACCATAAAATTATTTTCATTGCTACTCTATAACTGTAATTTTGCTACTGTTATGAATCGTAATGTAAATATCTTTTTGTTTTCCAATAGTCTTAGGCGACCCCTGTGAAAGGGTCGTTCGACCCCCAAAGGGTTCACGACCCACAGGTTGAGAACCGCTGCGATGCTTTTGGTTTTTGCATAAATACATTGTTTTAAAAATGTACTTGAACTTAGCTTGGGAGAGCAAGAAATAAATGCCTTAATTATATGTGTGCTTTAGGGGATGTTCTTCACAAGCTCCATTACAAAATCATCACTTATTTAATGTTCACAGAAATCTGTTATGTAGGCATTTGCAGATAAGGACACATGCCTCAGGTTCACACTGCCAACTCCATGGTCTCCCCCTTCACACCACAGTGCTCAGAAAAGTTAAACCCATGGCCAGGGATCCTTACATTCCAACTCTCACTGTATATGTGTATTTTTTAAAGAGACTGGCTGGTGTGTGGACTTTTCTGAGCCTCGAAGAACATATGTACCTCCAGGCAAGTTTTACTTTTCTCTTACAAAATGCTGTTTTCCCTTTGAGCCTTTCCCCATTCCTATGATTAAAACTAGCCTCTCCCTTGAGAAACAAGTCTAACAAATACTGTGAAAACAGTCCTTAGATCTAGGTAGATGGGACTTCAGATCTGTTTCATTTATGTGTGCAAGGGGCTACTCAACCTTAACTCCTCAGGTCATTCACCTGGAAACAGGAGATTCCTCAGGGGTGACAGGATAAAATCAATAACATGCTAAGGAGAAATACACCAATGTTAGTTAAGTCTTTGTAACCCTTCTCTCTTAAAGTCCCAGGAAATGAAGAACTGTGGACAGGGTCATTCTAGGACTCGGAGACCAGGGGTGGTTGGGGGGGGGGGTTAAGCCAGATCGATTATCACCTCACAGCCTGGGAATTATAGGTCGTTGAAAAATTTACATAACAATGGAGACTTTCTCTGGCTTTCTCCACCCCCAGGCTAGTTTGCTGCACTTTGTTTCTAATACCCTTGGACAAAGCCAGATTAAAAACTACTGGATGAAACAGAAGACCACACCCTGTGTAGACGCGAACTTGGATGAAAAAATGAAACTGAAAACGGGCAATTTACAAAGCCTCGAGGCGGTTATATAACAGATGAGATAGAACCAGATTCTAGATTACATACATTTCCTTTATTAATCCCAGAGTAGTTAAAAAAAAATCCAGCCGCAGATTTGCTCGTTGGTGACGTTTATCAAGTATGGAGGAGGCGCTATGTCCTGAGATTTCAATTAGTTATTACACGAGCTACCCTAACCATGTGTCAAGTTTGGAGAGTTACAGATCTCTTAAGATAACGTGGGTGGCTCTGAAAAGAGCCTTTGGGTTGGGAGAAAAGCCGCTGATGCGCGAATCTACTTGGAGCTGGTGTACTTGGTGACGGCCTTGGTGCCCTCGGACACGGCGTGCTTGGCCAGCTCCCCGGGCAGCAGCAGGCGCACGGCCGTCTGGATCTCCCGGGACGTGATGGTCGAGCGCTTGTTGTAATGCGCCAGGCGCGACGCCTCGCCCGCGATGCGCTCGAAGATGTCGTTGACGAACGAGTTCATGATGCCCATGGCCTTGGACGAGATGCCCGTGTCCGGGTGCACCTGCTTCAGCACCTTGTACACATACACCGCGTAGCTCTCCTTGCGACTGCGCTTGCGCTTCTTGCCGTCCTTCTTCTGCGCCTTGGTCACCGCCTTCTTGGAGCCCTTCTTCGGGGCGGGCGCCGACTTGGCAGGCTCGGGCATGATCGGGATGACTACAAACGAGAGGAGCAAAACGGAAAGAAAAATAGTGAGAGCGGAGCACGCTGTGTTCCTTTTATACAGAGCTTCGCATGCAAATAAGGGGATAACTAAAGTCCTGTGTCTGATTGGTCGTTATTCAGTGTGACGTCAAACACTTAGCTCTGCCCAATCAGAACGGAAGAATTCGAAATTTGCATTTGCACTGGTTAAACTGAAACTGCAATTTTAACCAATGACGCACCCTTTTTTTCGCGACCAGAAAGGTTTATAAAAACCGGCCCCACTGCAGTTAAGTTACTTTCAGTGGTGGTTTCGAAACTCGCAAATGTCTGGACGCGGGAAACAGGGCGGCAAGGCGCGCGCCAAGGCCAAGACACGCTCGTCGCGGGCCGGGCTCCAGTTCCCCGTGGGCCGCGTGCACCGGCTGCTCCGCAAGGGCAACTACGCCGAGCGGGTCGGGGCCGGCGCGCCCGTGTACCTGGCGGCCGTGCTGGAGTACCTGACGGCCGAGATCCTGGAGCTGGCGGGCAACGCGGCCCGCGACAACAAGAAGACGCGCATCATCCCGNTTGGTCCCCACCCCCCCCATACACCGGGCTGAGCGCCGTCACCCGCACACCTGGGGTTCTTGGGGTTAAATGGCGCTAGCTGGGCCTCGCTGGTTAAATGGTGCTAACTGGAACTTGCTGGCCCCCCCCACCCCCCCTCCCAAGCCTGAGGCCAAGCCGTTTGTAAGTGACAGCTCCCTGTAAGTGACCAGGCCGGGAGCCGGTGTCCTCACTCGGGTCTCCAGCTCTGTGCCCCAGAGCCTGACTTCGCGTGTGGAAAAGAGGAGCTCCCTCCCCGTGGGACAGGCTCCCGGCGCGGCCCCGCCACCTCCCCCCGCCCTCCGCCTGCCGGCATTCCGCCCCGGATCGTCACCCATTTTCAGCAACTGAATCTTTCTCCACCAAAGGTCCCCCTTTTCTCGGGGCGTCCACATATTTCCGTAAAAGAGTTGGCATATTTTGGTTTGCTGTCCCTTTTAAGTGTCGTTGATAACGCGGCGCTTACACGCGCATTTTAGGTGCAGTTAGAAGCTGTGATAAACCGACGTTCGTTTTAAGCTCCGGTGTTTGTCAGGCGTTGGAAGGTGGTTGGGTGTCTATTCTGGCTGCTTCGCGGCGATCACGTAGTTTAGGTGGCGGCGAAGAAGCTCGCGTGGCGTGTCCACCTCCCCGGGAACCTTCCTCGTCAGTCCCCAGGTATCCAAGTGGGAAACGGCGTGTGCATGGTCCCCGAGTATTAAGAAGTCGGGTTAAGCTGCCCGCGAGGTGACAAGGGAGCCTCCTCCCCCGCCTGTGTCCCCGCGCTCAAGATGGCGGAGGGCGAGGGACAAAGAGCCCGCGCTGGGCGCGGAGGGAACCGGGGACAAAGGCGAGGCCGTGAGCCGAGGTGTGGCTCCCGGCTGGAGCGCGCGCGGCTGTTCCCCGCGACAAGGCGTCTGTCGCGCCAAAGGCCGCGGGGGAAACCGACTGCACACGCGGGGAGAGCTGGCAAGCGTTCAGCATACAGACAAATAAATGTATTTCTGACTATAACGAAAACCTAGGTAGCAGGATGTCACCTAATGAAGAAGACACAGATGTCAGCTAAACTTCATCATCAAGCAGACATGGTGGCTTCAGGACATTTCACCCCAATTATTAAGCATACACTATATAAAAAAAGAAGTAAAGCTTTCATATAATCACACAACTGAAACCAAATTCCTTACTATCCAATATTCAGTTCACATTTTAAAAACCCCTGTTATGCCCCAAATGTTAGAACCACCTCTGAGCAAACCAGATCCGTTCTGTCTCAGGCCTGTTACTTTTTCTCTTCTCTCCCTCACGTTTTGTTTTGTTTTTGACCATTTAGTTGCTGGAGATCTTACAGAATGTCCTGGTTTGTCTTGTTGACTGATGATCATTTTATTTTCCTGGACTTCTATGCCCTTCAATGGAGAAGTGATTTCCATGGGCTTGATTGAAATCGCGTTCATTTTCTTGTCAAGGAATAGTTTATAGATGGTGTTATGACCTGAAGGGAACCAAAATTTTGCCACCCTGAAGCTGCTCTTTTTTTGGACATTGATTTTAAGCTGTTTATTAAGAAAAAAGACTCAGAAAGGACCTTTGACACCCGCCCCCTTTCCTGCCCAAGAGATCCACAGAAAAGCCTACTTCCAGAAGGGAATCCTAGGATGTTCACCTTAGTCTTAATTTAAATTAAGTGTGATAAATAGGAGGGCTTCAGGCCCGCCTGTTAGCTGGATGCCCCTGGGTCCTATCGCTTTTGAGTTGCCCAGCAAGTATTGCCTGCCATCTGTGTTCTGCTAGTCCTCAAATACCTGTGAATTGCCCATTCCCACTTCTGAAATCTAATACTCCATCCCCCCCGCCCCTTTGTCCAAAAATGTCCTCTATTTCCAACATTCCCTCATTATCTTTGGAGTTTTCCTGCTAATGTGAATTCCCCATGTGCCTGCCTGTATTAAAAACCTGATTTTCTCCAGTGAATCTCTCTTAATTTGATTATTGTCCCAGCCGGAAACGCTTAGAAGGTGGGAGGAAAAGTATTCATTTTTTTAGCCCCCATAGTACACTCTATTGCACCATATCAAAAGTACATGATGTCAAGCTTATCCAATTTGAAAAGGATAGATTGATCACGGGCTTAGGGTGAGTACTGTATTTTCCCATGTATAAGACGCACCTTTTTTCGAAAAATTTGGGATCTAAAAACTGGGTGCATCTTATACAGTGGTTTTTAGAGTTCAAATGCCATAGATGGAACTGAGGATGAGGCAATATATGAAGACAGTGATTCGTCATCAGACACAGATGAGGACAAGCTAATGGTTGGGAGTTTTGACANCTCGGCTAATGACTCCCTTAAGTGTGTTCAGGAGCGATTTGCAACTTATTTTAAAAACAGCTCGCGGAAGGGCGCCTATGTATTTATTTCAATATCTCCATTACCACAACTTGCCAAATCTGTTTGGAATAATATCGTTACCAGGATCAAAGGTTCAAAACTACGAATAGAGAAGTAAACATTATCACACACTTAAGATACTGGGCGCAGAGGTGAGTATGGCTAGATAATGAAACGAGAATTACAGGAAAAGAAAACACACCGGGGAGGGACCCGGGCTTCCGTGGCGGGGAAATTCTTCTGAGGACTCGCCTTCGGGAGGAACACCGTTCTGGTCGGGTTTTTCGGGCTGGGTATAGGGCGAGTGGGCCCCATAGTTTTTAGCCTGGGGCGTGGGGGGAGGTCGGTTGGAAAGGCTTTGCCGCAGGAGCAGGAGTGCCGACGTGGCGGAAAATGTGGGGCCGAGGGACCTGCGTTTCCATGAAGGTGAAGCCGAGGCTCCCGTGCGACCGTCTCCAGGCAGAAGATAATCAGTGAGAAACGTGTGAACGTAAAAGGGGCTGTGCAATAAATTCAGTGACCGACAGTGACCTCACGGGGACCACAAACCCCTAGCGGGTAGGTCATGGTGGGTCGTCAGGCCCCAGCCCCATAACTTTTTAGTAAAGCGTTATCCTGGGTTTAAAGAAGCCGCGTCCACTGCCCTTGTACATCTAGGTTCACACACCCTTGAAATGCCAGAACCGATCCTCTTTTTCAGGCCCTTGGGAGGGGTAACCACCCTCCAAGAAGCACATGCTCTCAACTGTTCTGCACCCTGCTTTCTCCCGCCTGCGTGAAATCTTCCTTATCTTCCTTTCGCCTCCTTAATTGCAAGTGCACAAAAGATATTGTAAAACCGTCATTCCCTGGAGCGTCCGAGATCTTGCTTCCCGGCAATGTCGTCATTTTGGCTAAAAAAACTCTTGTGAAAACTCTCTACAGGTTTTGAGATTGTTAGATGGACTGTTTCCTTAGTTTTACGGAGTTAAAAAGTTCCGAAAATTCTCAACCCCGTACGCAAGACGCGGTGGGGGGGCGAGCGGCGAGGGGGGGGNAGACGCGCATCATCCCGCGCCACCTGCAGCTGGCCATCCGCAACGACGAGGAGCTCAACAAGCTGCTGGGCAAGGTCACCATCGCGCAGGGCGGCGTCCTGCCCAACATCCAGGCCGTGCTGCTGCCCAAGAAGACCGAGAGCCACCACAAGGCCAAGGGCAAGTAGAGGCCCGCTTCCTCGGCGGCAGCTCCAGCAGGTCCATTCCAAACCAAAGGCTCTTTTCAGAGCCACTCACTTTTTCACAAAAAAGAGCAACTCACGGTGTATGTCCTACTTGAACAAGTTCCAGCCTGTGTCCATGGTCGCCACAGCCCAGTAACTGCTAGTTACCATTTTGGCTCTCCTGACTTTTCTGTTTGAATGTGACCCTGGGAAGAGTGTCTTTTAGGAAAACGGTGACATAATCCGAGGGGTTTAGTAATTACAAGGGAGCAGTTAAGGAAAGTTGACAGAACCTGATCAGTCTTAAGGTGGACAGGTTGACTTCAGTGCTCTTGTTGAGCAAGTTAATTTTTTCTACTGATGAGGGAAGCCGTAGGGACCTGGAGGACTTGCCTGGCTAGCAAGTGTTCTATGCTGGGGGAAGTGATGGTGACAGCCAGAAATGTCGCCAAAACTCGCAGAAGATAGCCAAAATTAGAAACGTTGGGACAACGGCAGTCGCCGTGGTTGGTTCAGTTTCTGAAATGAAGGCGAATTCCATTTGCGGCCCCTTAGGGAAGCGGCGACATTGTTGCAGTTTGCCTGTCATCCCCGGCGCTCAAGCTTTACCTGTAATTCCTCAGGTAGCCCACCTAGGAACCCTGCCACATGGGACAAAGGTTTCAGTGGATAGGAAGTGGCAGTGAGGCGACCCGTTTAAGTTACTACTAAGTAATCATCTGAGAAAAAAAATACAAATCTTTTCAGAGCGTGGTCCTTGGAATCTTAGGATCCGTTACATAGAAATGCTGGGTCAATTTGCATCTTTTCATAATCCCCAAGTGATTCCCTGTTTACAATGTGAAATGCACAGAAATGGAACATTTAAATTTTTGGATTATAGACGACTATCAAAGGGAAGGGATGAAATGGGGAGCGATTCATCTGGGTTTACTAATTATTCACTAATCGCCTCGTTGACTCTTCAGCCAATGGCCTTTTTGCGCGGGACTTTTCAAAAAAAGTACGGCCAATCAGGACGTTTCTGAGGGTATATAAAGGCTTCCTCGTCTGCCTTCATCAGGTTAGTACCTTCTTTCACCTTCTGGGGCAATGGCACGAACCAAGCAGACAGCTCGCAAGTCCACGGGCGGGAAGGCCCCGCGCAAGCAGCTGGCCACTAAGGCGGCCCGCAAGAGCGCGCCGGCCACCGGCGGCGTGAAGAAGCCGCACCGCTACCGGCCCGGCACCGTGGCCCTGCGCGAGATCCGGCGCTACCAGAAGTCCACGGAGCTGCTGATCCGCAAGCTGCCGTTCCAGCGGCTGGTGCGCGAGATCGCGCAGGACTTCAAGACCGACCTGCGCTTCCAGAGCTCGGCCGTGATGGCGCTGCAGGAGGCGTGCGAGGCGTACCTGGTGGGGCTGTTCGAGGACACCAACCTGTGCGCCATCCACGCCAAGCGCGTCACCATCATGCCCAAGGACATCCAGCTCGCGCGCCGCATCCGCGGGGAGCGGGCGTAAACTGTCTCTGCGTGGTAACTTCAGACCCAAAGGCTCTTTTCAGAGCCACCCACACTTTCAATCGGAAGAGCTGTGAGTAAATCCCTGGTACCTATTCCCCACTCAAATGGTAGGACAGTGCGGCAGTCGCTATCTCGCTTGCGAGTGTCACTGGTCTTCCAGCTCATTCCTCTTTCCCGAGTGCATCTCAATCGCCAGCTCTTGCTGGCACGTCCCCGTTGTCCCTAAGGCACCGCGTGCTGCCTTTTCAGCATAGCCTGATTGTCTAGTCAGTGCCACATAACGCGGCGCGCGCCTCTGCTGTCACAGTTGTATCGCGGTAGTTAGCACGGATGCGCCGAGTGGCCGGGCTTGGATGTTGAGTTAAACGCCAGGAATTTTGAGCTTGTTTCACTAAAGAGCCTCACAGAATGCAGTGTTAGCATCCTGCGTGACCAGCTAACTGATCACACCACTGAAGCAGCCCTCGGACTCTGCACAGATGAGCCTGCGTAATCCCTTATTTGCTGGAATCCCTCAGGAGCCATTGAGAGAAGCTCTCCCACTTTCTCCAATAAAGGCGGCGCTCTGAGCCGCCCTAGGGCAATGCAGCATCTCGGTTCCGCCAGCTTTGGCAGGCAGCCAAGGGAGCTCCCAGCCTGGGGGTTCGGTAAACACGAGGCTCTTCAGGAACCAAGTGAAGAGTGAAAACACAAGTCCTAAAAGAATCACAGAGCCTGCCTTTCCCATTGCTGATTTAAGCCAACTCAAAGGCCCTTCTAAGGGCCCTCTGAAGACGGGGATTGTAATGGTGGCACTAAGGTCTTCTATTTTGAGATTTGGATCTCTGGTATAATTTGTTTTAACAAGTGTAGTTTAGCTTGGGACTTTTTGAAACCTTTTCTTTCGTAATGATGCTGTTTCCTATACATTGACTATGCATATACCAGTTTCAATGTTTCTATTTACTCCAGCCCAGTGCAGGTCCTGTGAAGTGGGAGAGGTTTCGCAACTGTCTGGGATCCACTCCTAGCTCCAAATTTTAATCTACATAACAAATGAAAAGGTTGTGATATCCAGCTTAACCGCATCTTCCCTCACCCCAATCGACTAGCCGAACTCAGTAGAAAATTCCACCACAGGCCGAGGCAATGTACATCCTGGTTAGAAAATATAAAAGTTGACAGCAGACAAAGATTCGATGCAATAGTTTGCAGTACTAGTTTCCAGCAGACTGCCCAGCCGACCCTCTTACTTTAATAAATCTTTCTTCTATATTTCTACCTAAGTTGTGAATTCTTTCATTGCCCGCGAGCAAGCAGACACAATATCCTGCAGTTGTGTTTGTTTTTGTTTTTCTTTTTTAAAAAGAAGTGTAATTTAGCCAATTCTATGTACCAAACTTTGGTTTAATGCATCTTGAGATTTTGTTTGAAGTCGTTCAACTGGGGACAAATTTGTTTCTGTACGTTACTGGGTAAACTTGCTTGACTTGTTTACTGGGAGTGAATGGAACTGGTCGGTGGTTTTCCGCGTGACGTTTAAGCTGTCTCTTAAGCAGCCTATCTGGCTGGCAGCTTTGTAGGCCATAAGTGAGTAGGTTGGTTATAAGCCAAAGTTGCCCTGAGAGGAGCTTTGCAGGCTAGCGGGAAGTGGGATGTAAGTATGATTTTCAGGTGGTTGAGGGGTGCTTGGTTTTGGCAAAAGGCTGAATTGTTTCCTTGTGTTTAGGTAGTTTGGAAGGGGCAGTGATCAAATGCAAACGCCGGGTAATATGGACACACAGATTACGAAAGGTGGGGTGCTTTACCCACATAAGATTGAATTTGGGGTCTGTTTTCTGTTTACCCCTTCTAAAGCTTTGTTCTTACGTGTTTGGGCACGTATTATAGAGAAGCTACTGCTATGGGGAGGTCTATGCCGCTTTCTCATGTTGGAAACCTCAACGTGCTCAATTCCCGTCTCGGTGCAAAGTTAAAAGTGAAGCAGCCTTGGCTTTCCTGTGAAATGTTTGTCCTTTCCACAGAGAATAATGAGGGCATAATTGATAATCAGGATTTCTAATGGGCGTATTGAAGGCCCGGCCCAGCCCTGGAGGCTTCTACAGCCTGGGCAAAGGTCATGTGGATTATAACCAGCAGCTTGGACATCGCTGAGCTGGCTACCACTGTAGGGTCTCAGATCCCACCGCCCGACTACTCATTCGGCATTGTCCCAAGTTCCCACCAGGTGAGTCTCATGAACACCAGTGTAAGAAGCCTATTTTCTAAATTGGTGTTTTTGGTCTCATCAGGAAAAGCTGAGCTCTCTCTCACGAGGAGTAAGCATTTGCAAACTGCATGTTTATGCGTGTCATAGAGTTAAATGGTCTTAAAGCAATTCCCCACAATAAGGTGCACCTAAGACAGTTTGATTTCATTGTAGTTCGGTGGTCTCAATGTTGACGGCCCATCACAACAGGTATGTCTTCTGAGTGAGTGGAGAAATTCACCAAGATAAAAGAGAGGAACCAGGCAGGCAGGACTGTAGCTTGTATGCCAATGTAGCACTTGGCATGCATATTAATCCAGTGCGGTGTCATTGGACTTCCAGACTCAGCCTGACCTCACAGAAGGCTTCGAGGCTGACCAGGGGGGCCTTCACATCTCACTGCATTTTCCTGAGTGCCCAAGCCCTGTGCCAACTGCACACAGTTCCATTTGGACTCCCAGTGGTGTCAAGCACTGGTCACCTCAAAATGAAAGTTTGATTCTAACTAGAGTTATATGATCATATTTTCTCCACTAAAGCGATGTAGCCAGTATTTATAACTCATTTATGTTGTACTAGGAAGCTCCAGTGTGCTACTGAAGGCTTAAGAACTCATCAATTTTCCTCTTGTCTTATTTATTGTTTTCAGGCATGAGCTGTGCAGGGTTGAGCCACAGTTGTCCCCTGAAATTTATTCTCCTTTCTTATTTAGTAATTAAACTCCACAAGTGCTGGAAGCTGCTGGATGTCTGGGGCACTCTGTCTTAGAGCTTTAAAAGAATTGAGATTGGAAGTGACCAGCTTAATCTAGATGGGCTAATTATCATTTAATGTGTCAATGCTATTTGGTTAATTAGAAAATAGTTTACAGAAGTCAGGACTGGCCTTTTTTGTGGAGAGCTGGAGGTCTGCAGTAAGGGTTAAGCCTGGCAGCTGGCAAGCTGACAGGCTCTCAGGCCCGGGTGAGCAGCGTGGGAAGGTTGCTAGATACATTTCATTCTCGCTGTGCTGCTGCAAGCCTACGTCACAAACAACCTTGAAAGTTACAGAGTGAAATGCCAACCTGTTAACAGTTTCTACTTGTTATACTTTGTCTCGCTTTGGGAACATTTGCTTCCCTACTTCCTCAAACTCCCCCGCCCCCCCCCCAGGGCGGGGGGAGGGGGGTGCGGCTTACTAGCAAAAATTGTAATCGCCATCCCTTAGAAGATAAGCAAGCTTGGCCTAAAGCAAGTGTGTGTAACCAGTATATAAGAAAAATGCCGTGCCTTAAATAAACACTTCCCTGTTTTTCTCAAACTGTCTCAGTCTGTCTGTCTCTCGCAGACTCCGTCTCCACCTGAGGGAACCCCTGGACCTGTGGGAGCTGGTCTCCCACACACAACCTTCCTTCGCAGCAAGGCATGGCCATGAGTTTTGGTCAAGGGTATCTTAGCAAAGGTGAAATTATACCACCCTCGGGGTTTCAATAAATGGTGGGGCTATTATCTTGCTTGCCCTTTTCAGCTTCCTTCGGGACAGAAAGCTAACATGATAGCTGGAATTGGAGCCGACATCTTGGGCCACAAGGTGGAAGGGATATATTAAGAATGACAACTGGAATGACAGATGGGCAATTCCCTTAATGAACGGTAGCCTCCCCTCACCCTTTCCCCTCTCCATCTCCCTTCCTACCGGTGAATTTCTCTGCTGAGGACAGTTTCTAGAACCAGTTTATGAGCAAAAGGGCCCAGCAGATGGGAGGAGACTGTGTACTGGGCCTTGCTTGTCTTAGAGAGTGAGCATGTGTTAACCTCCAGATCATTTCAGGCGGCTAACGATAGTCCCTAAGTACAAATGTGAACTCCACACATTATGACTCTTCTTTCTTGTTGATGCCTCTTCTCTTGCCATCTGTCTTACTCCACCTTCCTTCCAGAGATGCCACCAGGGAACCTGAAAAATATAAGGTTGTCAATTCAGCTTATGGTAATGCGCAGGAGACCTTTAGACTGATGCTTCTCCCTTGTTTGATCAGTTTTAATATCCACTTTAGATGAGCCATGAGGATTGTTTCTGTACTGCTCACTGCTTTCCCAGGACCTGTCACTTTCGGAAACTTAACACTCTCAATAAATGAAAGGACTGAGTCCTAGTCCTTCCACTGAACACTGTATGTAGGGAACTCTCAAGCACACTAAATCTGTTATTCTACTCTTCCCTAAGCGGGCCCCAACTCCATAATCCAACAGAAAGGCCCACTGAGGGTGAACTTGGAGGCTGACACATGTTACTGGTCCCTATATGCTGGGTAACTTCAAGGTATTTTGAAATCGAGCAGCAATTGCATTGTCTTTTCTCACCAGCCTTTTCGAAGGAAGACTGCACAAGGCCGGCTTCTTTGCTGGCTGCTAGGCAAGGATGTTACCAAAGCAAATGTAATTCTAATTAAGTCTAAAATGTATATTACTTGCGGAGCGAAGGGACTTATTTCATGAACCTTTCTGTGTCAATTTCCTCCCAATCCCTTCCTTACATTAGGAAATCCTCAGCCCCTCCCGTTTTCCAGTAACCATGTTAAGACTGAAAAACCACACAATGCTCTGAAAATTCTTACAAAGATGTTCAGTAGATATGAAAGGTCATTACCAATTAGTGCATGACGTTTCCGTAGACATTAAGCACCAGAGCTCTTTATGTGAAAATATGGGTGGCTCTGAAAAGAGCCTTTGGGTTGGGAGCAAAGCCGCTGACGCGCGAGTCTACTTGGAGCTGGTGTACTTGGTGACGGCCTTGGTGCCCTCGGACACGGCGTGCTTGGCCAGCTCCCCGGGCAGCAGCAGGCGCACGGCCGTCTGGATCTCCCGGGACGTGATGGTCGAGCGCTTGTTGTAATGCGCCAGGCGCGACGCCTCGCCCGCGATGCGCTCGAAGATGTCGTTGACGAACGAGTTCATGATGCCCATGGCCTTGGACGAGATGCCCGTGTCCGGGTGCACCTGCTTCAGCACCTTGTACACGTACACCGCGTAGCTCTCCTTGCGGCTGCGCTTGCGCTTCTTGCCGTCCTTCTTCTGCGCCTTGGTCACCGCCTTCTTGGAGCCCTTCTTCGGGGCGGGCGCCGACTTGGCTGGCTCAGGCATGGTTCCAGATTCCTCTGACAGAAAACCAGCACAGTGAACCTTTTCTCCAACGCGGGGCTATATTTGTAGGGCATCTATGCAAATAGGGCTAAATCTGTGTCAGTTCCTGATTGGATCAAATCAGCCAGCAAGGTGACTTCAAATCTACTTTTTGATTGGCTGTTTATGAGGAAGCATAGCCCGGGATTCTATTTTCCCTCAGAAAAGTTTTCGTATTCAAAACGGAGACAAATTAAATCAATGTTAATAGTATCTATTTATGAACCATGCGTCGACCTAGATCAGGACCTAAGTAGACAAAGATTGATTGAATTTATTCCTCCAACGTTCCTTGCCAAAGTAGTTACAGGTTGCTAATTCTAGGGAAGAGAATACAGAAGTTAGCTAGTCATTTGTTTTCTTTTTGGTCCTTTTTCTGTTCTTAGCAATGTGTTCAGGAGTATGCCATTGACATTCCCACTTTGGTCTGATCGAAGCCAGGAACATTTAAGCTTTTTCAAGAATCAAAAAATGGACACATTTCAAGAGAAGAGGGATTTTTCTATTTGTAATCTCAGAAAGGAATATCTGGGAGCGACGCAGTGTTTGTTGGAAGGTTCGAAATAACGAAATAGGGTGGTTGTACTGATAAAATAAGATTTTTTGTCAAAGAGAAAAGCTTTGATAAAAGACAAAACTGGACTAGATCGTTTATATTCAACGCGGAATTTTTGAAAACGTAGACGAACCCTGCAACTTTCACTTTCAGTTCTTCCTAAACTCAATCTCAAACAAAAATATTAAGGAAATTAACAAGGAGATTCAGGAACGCCTAAAACATGTAAAATACAGGGTAAATACAGGGCAAAAAACTGAGGGAACATAGCAGAGCACATTTCAAAAGTTCAAGATTTTCTAAAGTGGGATCCTGTAGCCAATCACAAAGCCTAATTCAGAACTTCATTCAGGGCGCGAAATTTGAACATTGGGGCCAATCAGGAGTAGGTTGCCGTTATAAATAGGAGGAAGACCAGAACAGCGTTCAGTTGTGCAGTCTCAGTAACCTCTCACTATGGCTCGCACCAAGCAGACAGCGCGCAAGTCCACAGGCGGGAAGGCTCCGCGCAAGCAGCTGGCCACCAAGGCGGCCCGCAAGAGCGCGCCGGCCACCGGCGGCGTGAAGAAGCCGCACCGCTACCGGCCGGGCACCGTGGCGTTGCGCGAGATCCGGCGCTACCAGAAGTCCACGGAGTTGCTGATCCGCAAGCTGCCGTTCCAGCGGCTGGTGCGCGAGATCGCGCAGGACTTCAAAACGGACCTGCGCTTCCAGAGCTCGGCCGTGATGGCGCTGCAGGAGGCGTGCGAGGCGTACCTAGTGGGACTCTTCGAGGACACCAACCTGTGCGCCATCCACGCCAAGCGCGTCACCATCATGCCCAAGGACATCCAGCTGGCGCGCCGCATCCGCGGGGAGCGGGCGTAAGTTGTCTCAGCGACTGGTAGTTTCAAACCCAAAGGCTCTTTTCAGAGCCACCCACACTTTCCATCGGAAGTGCTGTGAGCAAATCCCTAGTTTCAACCACCCAGAGAAAGGTTGGCAGTGCGGCGGCAGTTGCCATTTTGCCTGCGTGTCACTGGCCCCCCAGGTTCCTTCTCTGTCCACCTGAGTACAGCCCAATCCCAAACTGTTAGGGCCTGGCAGGCACGTCCTCGTCCCTGATGCTCCGTGTGGTGCTGTGTAGGCCGTGACAGTTGTGCTGTCACTTGCAGCTGGGCAGAGCTGCGCACCGAGTGGCTGCGCCTGGAGTGGTGGCCGGGCGTTCCCGCCAGGAATTCAGAATTTATCAGTACAAGTAACCTAAGCTCACTGCTGGATGTGTTGCTAAGGCAGAACCTGGGCTTCGGAGATTAAGCTGACTAACCCTTTATTTGCTGGGTCCGATTCCCTCAGGAGCCATTGAGACAAGTCCTCCACTTTCTCCTAAGGCGGGGTTTTGAACTGCCCTTGGGCAATGCAGCATCTGGGCTCTGTCAGCTTTCGCAGACGGCAGCGATGGGGGCCTGCAGTCTGCGGGCTCGGTAAATACTGGAGGCCCTTCAGGAACTAATTAAACAGGTCTGCACTTCAGGTAACACCCAAGTCCCGGCAGGAACCACGCAGCCCGGCTTTCGCAGCAGTTTATTCAACAACTGCAGACTGGCTGGTGGAAACCGTCTGCTACAGACCCCGGAAGGCAGAGTCACAAACTTCTGGAACAGCTCAGTGCTGTTGCAAGCTTGTAAGTGATAATAGCACCACAATGTGACTCCCAAGTGACCGTTGATTGACAGGATCATTAGACTCACAGTCCTCATTGCAGCACTTCTGTATCTTTGCACAAAACGTTTTCAGGTGGAAGACAGGGAATATAAAATGAAGCAACAAAACTGGCATCCGGTGGAGGAAGACACAACACTTGTACGTGAAAGTTCTTAACAGCATTATTTGTAATAGCCCTAAAGTGGTAACAACTTTATCTTTAAATTAACGCTTGATCACACAAATTCTTGCACTGACTAATACAGTTGAATTCTACCTGGCAATAAAAAAGGGAGGTTATTGATACAGGTACCAGGCTGGATCTCAGTCATGTTTCCTGAAAACAGGCCAATCTCAAAGGTTACATATTGTATTATTCCATGAATGTAGCATTCTCATAATGATGAAATCAGAGATGGAGAACAGGTTAGTGACTGACCCACGACAGGGGAGACAGAGGTGGGTTCCTGTGAGTATAAAGGGGTGACATCCAGAGTTCCTTGGTGATGGAACATTTTTTTATTTTGGCTCTGCGGTGGTGGTTCCAAGAATGTACTCATGGGAGAAGATTGCACAGGACCCTCCTCACATACAGATACAAATGAGAGCATGTGAAAACTGGTGAGAACTGAATAAGGATAATTATGTAGGATATCACAGTTAGGAGAAGCTGGGTTCAAAGGACTCAATTTCAAATTAATAAGGTAAAAAAACCCAAACCTGTAACAATTCTTTAGCAGTTGCTACTTTGTATCACTCAGGAGTCTATGGCTTGCTTAGCAAATCAACAAGACTTTTGCCATATAAACAGCAGGGTTTTTTTTGCTTTCTTCTGGCTGTTCTAGAGGTGACATACCCATTTGGCTGATTTGGTTCATGTATGTTTGTACATGATTTTGGAGATAGATATTGCTGCCCCTACCTCAAAAGAAAATTGAGTTTCAAAAGCTGATTTTATAATCTCAAATTTTCTAATGGGTTCTTGGCTGAGTTATCCATGGTGCTTAGGACAGTGTGCTTGCTATTTCATAAATACACAATGGTAAAGAGAAAAAAAAAATCACTGCCCCAAAATGGCGTCACTCATGCTAAAAGCCCAAGATACCAAACCTAGATTTCATATCGGGTCTAATTGCAGTTCCAAATTCTCCCAGAAACATAATTAACCAGGATGGAATTTTTTGATCCAGCACTAACTAGTAAAGCATTCTGTCACAGGAGCTCTCTCTAGCCACCTCACACCTAAGAGACCCAATCTGCATGATAAAACCGTCTTTCTGCTTTCTCCTCAGGAAAGTTGTGCAGGCCTAAGAGTAAGCCTTTCTTTTCTTTTTCTACTAGCTCCCATGCCCCACCCTTGTCCCTCTGAAAACTTTCCATTTTTAGACCCCTCAGGTCGCCCTTCTAGGTACTAAATGGGATGTTGCCCAATTCATGAATCGCTTAGTAAAATTAGATCTTCCAATTTACCCAGTTTAATTTTTTTTAACAGTGCAAATCTGTTAAAAAAGATTTTTAAATTTTGAACACTCCATTGCATTCTAAAGACATCATTTATATCTTAATGTTCTCATAGACTAGCTCAGCATTTTTTTTATATATAATGCAAAAATCTAGGAATGCTCACATTTTTATTTCTGGCACTTGCATAAAATCCCTTTGCATAGCTTCAGAGTTTAGGACAGCTTTGCTGGAATTTCATGCACCAGCCCCGGGAAAGCAGTCTCCTCTCCACCCTCTGTCCTACACGAAAGGAATGGCATTAGCCCCTGGCAATTTTCATCCTTTTCCTCTTCAATCCTTCGTTTTTAAATGCATATGTTCAGTGTAAATGATAGCGCTGGACATACGGCGTTATATGGGAAATGTTTTAAAATCCTTCCATGTGCTTTGGTCCTGTCTGTACTATAAACCTGTTGTTTTTAAAAACATCACCAGGGCGATAGATAGGATTTGATTGTCAACAAACTAAATGCCAGTCATTTTGCTTTTATGACTCAGTTATCAACAGGTATTTGTCCTTTTTAGGGACAAGGCCACTAACACTCCGATTAACAAACATGCCCATTAACAGCTTGAGAGCAGCCATTCAGGGATTCCAAACCCGAAGCCTGGGTGGGTTGCTTGGCAGTATTTTTGAAAATTGCTGTTTCTTGGGATTTGGGCCTAGTCAAATCCAGTTCCATTCCAGGCTGGAAAAGATCCAAGAATATGCATGGGAGAGACAACTCTCTAAACACACAAACGAGGTAGTTTCTGTACATGTTTGACACCCCTGATTAGAACTATTTTCTTACCAGAAAATCTTCCAACCCCGCGTTTACTAGGGGCGGGAACTCGGGGCGGTTTTCCTCCTTCGCGGGTCTTTCGGTTTCAAACGAGGTCCGCCCACTTGTTATTTAAGAGGCTGCCACGGCCAGTGTGGGGCAGACGTCGCAGAACCTGGTCCTCCACCATGTCTGGACGCGGCAAAGGCGGCAAGGGGCTCGGCAAGGGCGGCGCCAAGCGCCACCGCAAGGTGCTGCGCGACAACATCCAGGGCATCACCAAGCCCGCCATCCGGCGCCTGGCCCGACGCGGCGGCGTCAAGCGCATCTCCGGGCTCATCTACGAGGAGACCCGCGGGGTGCTCAAGGTGTTCCTGGAGAACGTGATCCGGGACGCCGTCACCTACACGGAGCACGCCAAACGCAAGACGGTCACGGCCATGGACGTGGTGTACGCGCTCAAGCGCCAGGGCCGCACCCTCTACGGCTTCGGGGGCTGAGTCTCCACCCGCAAGCTCGCTTTCTGGAGCAAAACCAAAGGCCCTTTTCAGGGCTACCCACTTTTTCTACGAAGGAGCTGACACTTGCCATTTGGTCGAGGGAAGCTCACCTACCACTTCTAACAAGTGGGCTCTAAAGGACACGTTCTTTTATAAACACAGGTAACATGAGTCATTGTATGGTATTTGGCCCTTAGGGAAAAAGGTGTGCTGCCTAGGTTTTCCCTTGCGAGCCTGTTTAATAAGAATTATAAGCAGACATTTCTAGTTAAGTTGTGCATACAACAAGCTAATCTGCAAAGCAAGTCAGAGACGTCAGTATTAACTAAATTTTAGAAAGGATGAATGCTGAGGTCCCTGCTTGTGAAAGTGATATAACTTGTACGTCCCCACACACGAGCTGAGGGTAGAAGCCAGAGTCCAGCTCCAGGGAGCGTGCTTTGCAGTCTCTGGCTAACAGTAAACAATGCTGCCAAGTCTATCTGCCTGTGGTTGTGGGCTGTTACCTTGATGCCAGGTAGCCTTTGTAGGGGAGTCAACATTTTACTTTAACTTCCCTTGCTGGGCCTGAGGGTTACAGTAACATAAGACTGAAAGGGCGCAGTATAGGCCACTGAAAAATGTGCTACTTTGGCTTGTGACTTATTTAGGGCTGAAGACAATCAGGGCACAGCAGTCAGGAGAAACTTCTCCCTTTGTCTAAAAGAATTTAGGTGTGTGTGGGGGGAGGGCGTCTGTCCCAGAAAACGGGTTATAACTGGAGATAACTTATCTGAATGACCCACCTACAGGTGGGGCAAACCTCTGACCAGCAAAGGTGTCTGCCCTTATCTTCTTGTGAACTGCCGCTCTTTGCCAACCCCCCACCCCCTTCCCCGCTTGAAGCCCCAGGACCCATCCACTCCTTAGCTCAGGATGGTGTATAAGTCGCCATTGCCTGACTACCTTTGGATCTCAAATATTTATGGTGCTCTTGTATGTTACGCAATGAAAATGTTCTCCTGTTATGAAAACTTGATTACTTGATGATTAGACCAGCCAAGGACCCAGAAGGGAGGAAGGGATTTTTGTCTGCCCCAACAAGACAGATTCACAGGAGTAAAGCATGCAAATGTATTTAATATAAATGTTATGGGATGGGGCATCCTCACGTAGAAATGATGACGTTTGCAAGTCATTGGGGTCTCTAATTGCAGTGGGGTGCAGTGATTGTAGGGCTGAAAGCATGCATGTGGAGACCTGTCAGGAATCTGGTCACTGACAGATAGGACCAGAAGGCTGAGACAAAGCTTTCCTCTACCCTTTTAGAGTCTCCAGCTGGGCTTGAGGATTAAATTGACATAAAACAGATAAACAGGAGAGAAGCACACATTTTATTTAATATTGTTACAGATACAGGGGAGTGTTCACTGGGAAGTGAGGACCCAAACGTGGTTAGGCCTAATTGCTTATATACTAGGTTGAATAGAGTCGTAATTGTGAAATAGTAACTAAAATATATGGGGAGACTGAAGGAAGATAAGGGTTATTTTAACAAGGTCTGTTAGTGTTGGGAGCTGGCTGGGGTCAGCCCGGGACACTGAGGCTTTAGGTTGGCGAGCTTGGGTCTCCAGATAGATACAGGCCTGGGGTGAGCGGCCTTGGAGCAGTTTGGTAGGGACCTTTGGGACGGTGCTTCCACCTTAAACTGCTTCCAGAAAACGTAAGTGCAAAGAGTGAAGACCCCAGCTTGCTGACAGGAAAAGCTTATGGACTAAGGGCCTCAGTTGCTCATGGACTGTGGACTTGCAGTTTCAACATACATCACCACTCTGGGACTTTCACCATGGACCTGCTTCACATGCTTGGGACTTCCTACTGCGGGCTTGTAGACAGTTTCTATTTGCCTCAGTTTAACCTTGCCTAGCTATATCATTGGTTTATATTG